GTTTCGCGAAAAGTCTTCGAAAAGTCGTTTTGTTTTGAGTTTTGTTTTCAAACGAAGGGATCGTCTCTTAATTGCGAATCGCAGACAAGAAACCAGTTTTCAGTTCAAAGGATAGAAATCTCGCGATTTCTGCGATTATTGCGTGATTTCCGAAAATAACTTTTGAAAACACTTTTAATGCAAATTAATTCACTTTCAGAGCAATAATGAGTTCACGAGAAAACAGAAAACAGTTTTGTTTTTCCTATTAGTTGTCAAAAATCTCAGAAATCTTGCTTTCGATCGAATTAATTACTAATTAGTGGCGAAAGTGCCTCAAAGGCCACTTCCACTTCACGGTGGCCCACCTCGTCGCCCCACCTCCACCTCTGCATCACCTCATGTGCTCTCGTTATTGCCTTTGTGTCACTTTCAGGGTTTGAGAAGAAGAAGAACTCCTTCGTATAAAAGCACTTCTCGTGCATTAGAATCGCAGTCCATGAGAACTTCTAACTTAGAAGTGCTCTTCGAAGGCATTTCTCTGTTTAAATAAAGTTTGCGTTCAATTGTTACCATTTCGGACTCAATGTCACGTGATCACCAATTCATCGCTAATTAGCGCACAATTGGAAACCCAATCAAAGCAATTGACGCGCGAATCAGTCGCCGATCACGTGATTTGAGCCAAAAATAGCTTTTGATTTCTTTTTTCCGGATTTTCATAACTTTTATTCCGTTTAAAAATCTGTTCAATTGTTTTCACGCGAAATGACGACAAAAGCCTTGAAATCTGTGTCGAAATGTGTTTCTTTCGAAACGCGATTGTTGTGCACGTGATTCACATTAATTCTGACCCAAAATCACAACTTTCCTCAAAAAGCATTCATTCCTTCGCAACAATGCGTTCTCTTCACGCGATTTCTCGTCACTTCTCTTCGCTGCAGAAACTGAAACCGAATCCAAGTCTGCATTCGATTCGAAAGCAATTCGAATCCATCGGAGAGGGAAGCGTCGAGTTGTCACGTGACAAAGACTCCGCCCTCATCCGCCTCCGCAACCCGCGCGCCCGCAACGGTCTCTCCGGCCGAATGATGGCTCAGTTGTGGGAAGTGTTGGAAGAGTTGCGGCTCTGGCCTCAGGTTTGTGCGCTGTTTCCATGACAACCGCTCTAACACTCGCTCTTTAGGGCAAATCAGTGGTTCTCTGCGGCGCCGACGGCTTCTTCTGCTCGGGCGGCGACTTGACGACCGTTCGCCGCATCGCCGACTCCGACAACGGCCGCAAGATGTCGCTCCTGATGCAGGACAACCTCGCGCGCCTCCAAACGCTGCCAATGGTTTCGGTGGCTGTGATCGAGGGAATGGCGATCGGGGGCGGCGCCGAAGTGGCCACCGCCGCCGACTTCCGCCTCATGAGCGCGAGCGCGCGCATCGGCTTCGTGCACATCCGCCTCGGCATCACCAGCGCGTGGGGCGGAGTCTGTATTCAGCCATTAATGCCGTCAATGCTAACACTGTCTGTCCTTAGGGTTCGCGTCTCTCGCAATTGGTCGGTCCGCAGAAGGCGTTGCACATGATGTTGAGTGGGCGGCGACTGGACGCCGAGGAGGCGTTGCGATTGGGTCTCGTCGATGACGTCATCGCTGCTGAAGCGGACGCCGTGGCGGAAGGGCGCGCGTGGATCCACCGGTTGTTGGCCGCGCGCTCTCACGAGACGATTCAAGCGGTGAAAGAGATCGTGAACTGCGCGCGATTCCTGCCGTTGGAGTTGTCATTAAGAGAGGAGCTGGACGTGAGTTGCGGCGTTTGGGGCGCGAGTGAACACCAGAGGGCGTTGGCGGCGAACATCAAACACAAGTAACAGAAGTTGTGATAATATTTAGATTGAAATAGACTTTAATTAAAACTAAACTTTAAAAAGAGTTAAAAATAAATAAAACTTTTATGACTTAAGACTAGAAATGTTAAACACTGTTATTATTGTTGTTGTTTTTGGCGCTCGTGTTGAAGGCGGCGATCATTCGCATGTCTTTCGAGAACGTTCTCTTGATCTTCTGATCGCTCTTCTGATCCAAATCTATGATTCGAATCGCCGCCAAATAGTTGCGCTCCGAGTCGCCAATCAGGTGCCGCGACGGCAGTGACGTCACGTCCGCCTCCGCCTCCAGTCTCTGCATTGTTATCATGATTGACAGGTCTTTGGCCGTCAAAGAGACCAGAAATCGAAAAACCTGTCGACGAATCGAAAACATTAGTATTCATTCATTGGTCGCTTTGATTCTCACTTTTAGCGCCAAATCCTCCGATTGGTCGGCCGCGTCCAGAGTGGGCGGAGTCCACACGTCGTTGCTGTTCACGCGTTGCAACAATTGCAGCGCGACTTCCGAATCGATCGCATCCAAGCGTTGCGCGCGAAGAACGCAATCCAGAACCGAACCCGACGTCAGCGCGTGTTCTAATAAAGAGAGAGTCACGTGATGGGAGAGAGAGAGAGCTCTTACCGGANATTGGTCGGCCGCGTCCAGAGTGGGCGGAGTCCACACGTCGTTGCTGTTCACGCGTTGCAACAATTGCAGCGCGACTTCCGAATCGATCGCATCCAAGCGTTGCGCGCGAAGAACGCAATCCAGAACCGAACCCGACGTCAGCGCGTGTTCTAATAAAGAGAGAGTCACGTGATGGGAGAGAGAGAGAGCTCTTACCGGAAGTGCAGAAACAGTGATTCGAGTTATGGTGTAAATCGCATTCCTCTTCGGCCATAAGCGCCTCGTCTTCGGGTCGCGAAGTGTCCACTCGAAGGGCCAGCGCTTTGGCCACCAGCCGGCAGAGGGCGCCCTCCACGTCGTCCTCCGATTGGCCGCAAAAGTCTCGCAAAAGCGGCGACAGAGCGGACGAGTCGGCGGCGGAGGAGTCGCCGAACACGTGATGGGAATCGCGGAAAACGCGGAAATTGTTCTGCGGGTCTCTGATGAGAGCGCGCAGAGCTGTTTGCGTTCTTTGCGGACACCCGCTGAACAGATCCAGCGGACAGTAA